TCCTGCCTTTTAAAAAAATCTAATTGTGAATAATCTACTGCAACCTTCGATAAATTCCTCACATTATTAGATAACCTCCCACTGAAAAGTCTGAACTTTAATTCTCATCTCATTTAATCCAGCTTCACCTTCTGCAAATGACTTTCTGCAGTTTCTCAGCTACTGTGCAGAACTGTCATTGAAGTATCCGCTTTCAACACAGAAACACAGAAAAGAGAGTTAATGGAAAAGAAGAGAGACACTTCTGCGCTGGAACAAGTGGTCAGCTCTTATCTCGAACTGCCACCTTTAGCTATCAGAAGTTCAATACAATTTTCTTCTTCACTATAGTTTATCACCTGGGATGCACTGAAAGTCCTCTTTTTGCCTACAAAATAAATAAACAACATGGCAGCAAGATGGAAAAGTTTGTGAGCATTAAGAGCTGTCTCTGTACTCGCTATTCCTTATGAACTTTCTTGGTCCATAAGAAAGTTCTGGGAAGCTTTTGACAAAACAATGCACTACTCAACAAAACAACTACACAAACTCGGGATTCTTTTTTTTCCGTAAATTTGCATTAGCAGAACATAAGTCAAATCTTAGTAGACTCACCTTAAGACTAAATATGTGACTTTTGGTGATATCTCTACTTTTTCTCATGACAAATCAACAACGTGTAAGATTTGGGGAACAGAAAGGTTGCATGTATAGGGCACACACACACATTTTTGTGTTCACGTTTATTTTTCAATAGCAATACCACAGTATCACGTGAAACAAGAAGACTGTAAAGCAGCTAAGACAAAAGGTCACACAGAAAGAATTATAGTTTTGAATAAGGTGTGCTCAGGCCAGGGACAGTGGCTGCCAAGAAGACGCATTCATTCACAGGAAAAGAGGTTCAGCTGTTTGATGCAGACTGTTAATTACTTCACAGTTCTGTTCACCTGCACGGACACAGACTATTTACTTGGAAGGATCAGCAGAAAAAGCAAAACGTCAGACATGCAAGAGCAGCTCCCGAGGCTGCAGGCACGGAGCAAGAGCAGCTCACGGTCACCAAGGCTGCCTCAGCCTGCAGCAGCTCAGGGCTCTGCGCTCACCTTGGCTGCGAGGCAGCCAGCAGTGAGGGAGGCAGCGCACCTTCAACACACATACTGCTGTGAGACCATGCTGGTAAAGGTCAAAAAGCCGAGCAATACACAGCAGATCACTGATGCACACGCACACTTAGGCGTATGTATGCAGGCAGCTGTAGAATTAGAAAGACCCATGGGCTTTCGGCACTAACTCAGCTCAAAGGAGGAAATATACCTGCAATGTTCCCCAGCCTTGGATTGTCATCATTAACATGTCAAGGGAAAGTGGAAGTGTTCTTGATCCTCTTTTACAAAGAATACACTTCTGAACTAGTTCAGGAGTTCTGCAAGCAGCAGGAGATTAGGTTTCTCATTAGGAAGGGACGTTGACATATGCTCTGTCTGCCCTCGCTCTCTGCGCCATAACCCTGCTTGCTCCCCTCCGCACCCCAACAGCACTAATCCCCCCAGACCCCAGAGGAAGCTCAGGCTGGGGCTGGGCAAGGGTTGCCCCCCCCATCCACTGGCAGGGCAGGACAAGCACAAGATGAACACGTGCTGGGCTCTACACCCAGCCAGGGTGCAAAGCCAGGCCCTCTCTTCTGTAAGGCCCGCAGCTATAAACTGTGTTAAAATAGTAGTCTCCCCAGTCCAAACCTGCCAGGGTCTCCACCATCTATAGAAGTGATGGACAAAGCAGTTGTGCTCTGTAACACTTCTTGTCATTACGGAACAAAGTGCTGTGTTGTCAGGGGCAGCAGACTACAGACAGAAATCAGGTAGGAAGGCCTTATATGCAGATATTCCCTGTTTTCAGTCTGTCTTGAGGCAACTACGGACGCCACTGTGTGATGAATAGCTGCCATCTTCTGATTCCCAAGCTTATGAAATCCCGTACAGGCAACTCGGACAAACAAAAGGACCTGCTCCAGTTTGCAGCTTTTGCTGCACTTCGACTATCATCAGGTCAGATAAAACTAAGGGAATTGGTAGCACAGTAGGCAAAGAGATCTGAATTCACACCAGAAGAGGTGCCAAAGTAACATAAAATCACAAGGACTAGAACCACTAGGTCACAAAAACTCTCATGAAACAGTCCCTGCCTCAGCTGCCAGGCTGGAGCTACTGCCAGAGCAGCAGCTGCTGCCAGCTGAGAGGCGGTCGGCATCCACCCACCCCTCCTTCTCTAAGGCACACCACATGCGCTTGCCAGGTCTTTGCTGGAGAAAGATGGCAACACCTAGTCCCCTTGCCCCTCTCCAAAGGGTACAGGGTTGCCAAGAACCACAGTTTTACCTAAACACTAAAAAGCCAAACCTTCTATTGGCAAAAATCTGTTGCCTCCAACTGTAATCGGTTCCTGTGCATTTTAAAAAGAAGAAAGAAATTACACTTTATGCCTGCCAGCAATCGTGAGGGTCCAGGCTTACTGGCAGCATCAACAATCCCGTAATTTGGCAGCACTAAGGCTATGATGCCTGAATATGTGAAATAAACACTGTAATAAGATTTAAGTCAGTACTGGGTTGCAGTTTCCCTTTCCTCTATAAACAAAGTTATGTAATAAAACAGAAGAATTTGAGTTTGCCACTTCAATAAGAAATAAGACTACAGATACTAGCTGATTTTATTTATTTTTCACCACCAATATGTATTTGACAGTAAAAATAAGGCAACACTTTCAAACAAAAAAATGCGAAACAAAAAACTTTGGAATTGCACAGCTTTTATTTCTACACATTTTCTCTGAGAGAAGCGTAACACAAAGCAAAGTGAGGAAACGCTTCCTGGCGGTTGTAGAAGCAGAGAGGAACAAAAGAGCAGACCCTGTAACTCACTGGCCTCAGGCAGCTGCACAAAAGCAGGACGGGGAGCCTGTGACAAGAGCCCCAAGTCCAGTCGGGAAGCGTCTGGAAGGTGGCCAAGGCCAGGGCTGCTGCGCTGGCGGTGCTGCCGTGCTGCTGCCTGCCTTTGCTGCTCGTGCGCACCTGGTCAAACTCCTGCCCTCCTCTGCTCCAGGAAGCACTGTGCAGGGAGGGCTGCTGCCGTAAGAAAAGCTCCCCTCCAGCCCGGCACCCCTGGAAAGCTGAGAGGGCACTGCCAAACAATTCTTCAGTTATCTTCTCACCTCTGAGATGGGCCAGGTGTTATGCTAGGGATAACGCTCCGTCCTTGGCTTCAGGGGACTAAAACACAGGATCTAGGGGGAATCTGGAGAGAAGAGGAGCAGACAGGGGTGGGGGCCAGAGCTGCCACACCAACAAGAAACTCTCGCTCCATTTAGAGTACCATCACTACAGCATCAGTGCACTCTTTGGGGGCTGGATGTTGGTCAAGTTTGTTTCCACTTCACTTCCCAGCCGAGGGTGACAGCTCCAAGGAACCGTTTCACAGCTGTACAGCTACATGCAGGTCTGATCTGCACAGTGTACAGCGTTACAGCCCACCGGCAAGACATCCTGGAAAATGCCAGGCACCCACCACACCAGGAGAGGCAAGGACCAGACCTGGAGGACACTGTGGTATTAACTACAGTGCCTCCCCAAAACACAGCAGTGCTGAACCACTGGCACCACCGCCTGCAAAGGCAGCTAAGACAGCAGTGCTTTGCTGTGCCCCATCTGCAACCAAGAACAAAACCGTTCCACTCATACCTTCGCCGCAGAAAGCACAGGGCTCGGCAGAGACTGCTCCAGCTTCAAGGGTCGTCAGAAGCAGGCTGTTCACAAGCACCTGAGCAGTTCCCAGTCTGCGCCTTGCTTTAGGTCATTTTAGGCAACACACTGCAGAATATACAAAATACTTGAGAGCTCATGCATTGCTCATATCAAGCCAACCCGAGCAGGCGGTGTGCTTCAGAAGGCTACATAATAATACATTCGAATCAATGCCCAGCGAAAACTGGAGGTGGAAAATGCCAAACAACACGCCAAGCCACTCTCCATATACCTGAAGAGTCATGGCAGTCAGGTGAATTGCCCAGTGACTGGACAAAGGGAAACACTGCGCTTATTTTTAAAAAGGGAAGAAAGGAGGACCCTAGGAAATACTGACCTGTCAGGCTCACCTCTGTGCCTGGGAAGATCATGGAACAGATCCTCCCAGAAGCTCTGCTAAGGCCCATGGAGGACAGGGAGGTGATTCGAGACAGCCAGCATGGCTTCACCAAGGGCAAGTCCTGCCTGACCAGCCTAGTGGCTTTCTAAGATGGAGTGACTGCATCAGTGGACAAGGGAAGAGCTGTGGATGTGATCTATCTGGACCGCTGTAAAGCCTTCGACATGGTCCCTCACAGCATTCTTCTCTCTAAATTGGAGAGATAGGGATTTGATGGGTGGACTGTTCAGTGGATGAGGAATTAGTTGCACGGACGCAGAGGCTGGTGGTAAACGACTCCATGTCCAAATGGAGACTGGTGACAAGTGGTATCCCTCATAGGTTTTTACTGGACCAATGCTGTTTGCCATTTTCATCAATGACATAGACAGTGTGATCGAGTGCAGATGACACCAAGCTGAGTGGTGCAGCTGACACACCAGAACAATGGGACGCCAGCCAGAGGGACCTGGACAAGCTTGAGAAGTGGGCCTGTGTGAACCTCACGAGGTTCAGCTGGGCCAAGTGCAACACGCTGCATCTGGGTCAGGGCAACCCC